TTGATAAGTTTGACATTTGACATCTTTCCCACCCCCAGCGGTTGTGTTTAATGTCGAATAAAAAAATAAAAAAAGAACTAAAATAATTTAGAATATTCATTTTTCAAAATCTGTAGGTTTCCCAAACTGGGAACTTTAATTTATTCTCCCTATATTTCCTTTTACCACCTTGAACTGTGTTTATTTGATGCTTAAACAGGGCCGCAGACAAGGGCACAGCTCATCAGGAACGGATGCACGGGCGTGATATGAATTACGTCACAATCCCCGCCTAAACTAGCTCTACAGTAGGTTCACAATTGTAGATTTTTAAAAAAATGTTTCAGTTTAAAACCGATCATATTTCAACTTGAACTATCGCAAAAATTTTAGAGATGAATAATTTCCTTTCATCCTGTAAATAAGTCAAATTTATTGTGGTACAAGGCCATTAGTTTTGAGGCAACAGTGAAGATCGAACTCTGTACAATAGCTAACGGTGAGTTAATCAGACTTGCTTTAATTCTGATACCCTTAAATGTCGATCCGATATTTTAAGACCATTACAATAAATCTGAATAATTATAACATTAAAATTATTGTATTCTGTTTACAAATAGACTAATTTCAGGATCACTGCGATAGAAATTAATGATCGACCAGAAAATGTTTATGCCTGCAGTGGATACATTTAAACGTGAACAACCTGGACTGAATCTTGTGAGTCGGCGCCGTATGTGTTACGTCTGTTCATCGGCATTTGTGTTAGATAAGTGACAGCAATCATGTGGATTGGGGCTGCGAAAATGCCCCCGACCTCCAAAAGAAAAAATTTGCATACAGCCCGAAAAAAAAAAAGAAGTTTCTAACAATGCAAACGAAAAAAAAAAAAATTAAAAAAATGGCCTTCATTTCATCTCGAAGTTCATCAGAGCCGTGCGAAGTGACAATTAAGTCGACAAGAGTTTAGAGACGATAGAAAAGAAAAAGAAAAGAAATGAAAAATGATAAAAAGAGGAAAATGGTAAGAGAATGTGGTCAGGGCTGAGAAAGAAAGAAAGAAAGAAAGAAAGAAAGAAAGAAAGAAAGAAAGAAAGAAAGAAAGATGAAATAGATAAAATAGATTAAAGGAGAAAAGAAAGGAAAGAAAGAAAGAAAGAAAGAAAGAAAGAAAGATGAAATAGATAAAATAGATTAAAGGAGAAAGAAAGAAAGAAAGAAAGAAAGAAAGAAAGAAAGAAAGAAAGATGAAAATAGATAAAATAGATTAAAGAAAGAAAGAAAAGAAAGAAAGAAAAAGAAAAAAAAGAAAGAAAGAAATGAGGGAAAGGAAAAATAGATTAAAAAAAAAAAAAAAAAGAAAGAAAAAAAAAAAGAAAGAAAGAGAGAAATAATATGAAAGGATTATAAATACAAAATTAGAGAAGAAATAAAGAAAAGTAGGTAAAAAAGAAAGAAATAAATAAAAAAATTATAAAGAAAAAGAAAAAAAAAAAAGAAAGAAAAAAAAAGAATGAAAAAAAGAAAATAAAAAAAAGACAAGAAAAGAAAGGAAGAAAAATGAAAGAAAAGAAAAAAAAATAAAATAGAAAGATAGATGACAATAGACAAAATAAAATAAAGGACAGACGATAGATAGATAGATAGATAGATGGATAGATATGGACAGACGTGGACAAATAGATAGATAGATAGATAGATAGATAGATAGATAGATGAATGGATGAATAGATATGGACAGACGTAGATAGATGATAGATAGATAGATAGATAGATAGATAGATAGATAGATGGATAGATAGATGGACAGATAGATAGATAGATAGATAGATAGATGAATAGATATGGATAGATAAGATAGATAGATAGATAGATAGATAGTTAAACAAAGAAAGGGTAAAAAACAATCAAGAAAGAAAAGGAAGAGAGAGAGAGGGAGAGAGTGAAATTCTAAACGTTGAAGAAATCTAGAAAGAGAAAGATGGAAAACTTACGTATATTAATGTCGAAATGTTATTTTTCTTCTCCTAGCAGTGGCTTATGGAGGCAGCAACAGTAGGAGGGAGGAGTAAAATCTCGTCTGTGAGTGGGGGGGGAGGGGATAAAAAGAAAAATCACATCGTCCGCCAGAAAAGAAGGGAAAAGAAAGAAAAAAACAAGGAAAAAGTGAGATAGTAACCGGTAAAAGGGAGACGCTTGAGAATTAATGAAGAAGCAGGAGAAGGAGGGGCACACGCGGGAGTGTGGGGGTGGGAAAGAATGCTTGATATAAAAGGGAATTGATGTTGGGGAGGGGGAGACAAAAAAAAAGGAAGAAAAGGTGGGATGTCCATAGAGAAATTCATGCGCATTTGGAGTCTTTTTCAAATAATAATAATAATAATAATAATAATAATAATAATAATAATGTGAAGAAGAAGAACAACAACAAGAAGATGAAGTACAAAGAAGAACAGGAAGAAGAGAACGATGTCGATGATGATGATGATGATGATGATGATGATGATGATGATGATGATGATGATGATGATGATGATGATAGTTTGGGGGTGGGCCGTGGGAAGAGGACATATTTGTAATGTAGTGGGAGGAGAGAATCTGTCACCGGTGTCGACTCCGTCTCCGCCTCATTTAGAATGTGAAAGAAAGAAAGAAAGAAAGAAAGAAAGAAAGAAGGAAGGAAAGAAAGAAAGAAAGAAAGAAAGAAAGAAAGAAAGAAAGAAAGAAAAACGAGATAAACCAAAAGAAAGAAAGAAAGAAAGAAAGAAGGAAGGAACTTTAAAAAAAGGAAAAATACAATTATGTGTTGAATAAAAGAAGAGAGAAAAAAAAAGCGAGATGTTTGTAATAAAATTAAAAAAAAAAATGAAATTAAAAAGTGCATATAGTCGGGATATTATATTTTTATGTATGTATATACTGTAGTAGGTATATCGTTGTCGAATATAAGAAAGAATGGTTAAAAAGAAAAAGGCGGGGAAAAAAGGAGAAAATGGTGAATTAGAGATAAAACTTCAGCCGATAGTTGTTGGAGGGTTTAGGGCAGAAGGGAGAAGGTTAAGGAGAAAAACAAGAGACAAGGGAGGAGAGTAAGGCCCGCTAGAGGAGTGGGAGAGAGGAATGGGAAGAGTTGGAGAATGTAAAGTGGGAGGAGGAGAAATCTAGCTGAGGTTGAGTACTGTGGCAGGGCCAAGTGATTGAACTAGACGATGTTTGGTTCACTTAAACGCTAAACTGCGAAGCAAAATGATGGTGTATTGTCGGGCTCTCTCCTTTTTCAACCTATTTGTTTAGTTTAGCGTGTCTTTTGAGCAGGGGAGTCTGTAAAAACCTTTTTGAAGCAACACAGGAGAAAGACTTTCAACAGAGAAATAGGAACATTGAAACAGCCCTCTTACAAATATACATCTCAACAACTTTTTTTTTTACGCTCCGTATTTTAAAACTCCAATTAGATCTTCTGAACTGGTGTGTGCGTGTGTGTGTGTGAGTGTGTGCGTGTGTGTGTGTCGATCTCAAAAGACGCTGAAGAAAGAAGAAGAAAAGACAACAACAAAAACAAACAAACAACCAACCCCCTACGACCAACAACAACCGAATCTGTCTGGCTTAGACAAATTATCTTTCAAATCTCTACACTCTCCTCCCCGCTTTCAAACCTCAACTATCAACCATTCAAAAAAAAAAAAAACAATCAAAAGGGATAATTTTAAAGGCTTGAACTGGTTTTGTCTCGACTGATTTTACAAGCAGATAAAAAAAGAGAAGACGTAAAAAGAAAGAAAGAAAAAAGGAAGGAAAGAAGGAAAGAAAGAAAGAAAGACAAAAAAAGAAAGAAAGAAAGAAAGAAAGACTACTGTTGGTTTAGTCGCCGACGGAAACTGACACCCTCCACTGACTTTTCTGATAGATACATTACTACGCACGCGCACACTGACTGAGTACAACGATTTACACACACACACACACACACACACATACATACATACATACATACACAGATAAACATACGAACATGTCCCACTAATGATCAGCTACATCGCAGACCGTCGTCAGCAACTGAAAAGAACGGACACACTGACGGGTCCGTAGATAGTCACATGATTCGACTATTATACGTATATTATCGTATATTAATTCAAGGACTATATTCATTTTACAAAGAGAAAGACACACTTACATATATGTGTAAATATACATATGTTATATGTAAGTAAACACGCACAATTATGCTTTGTAAATATCAGCAAGAAGCTCACAAAAAACTGAAAAGTTATTACGTAAAGGAAAAACTTTTCGTCTGTATGTAAAACGATTTACGCGGGCTCTTTGATGAATTTATTACGAAACAAAAAAATAATTTAAAGACAATCGCGGAAAACGGAGAAGCAAAAGCAATCGGCCCCAAGGATATACAACTCAAGAAAATATAGATGGACTTGAAAATTTTACTTCGAAAAGGAAAAAGAAAATCATTTTAGCGAAAAACTTGATATCATTCATAAAAAAAATATGTAAAAAAAGAAAGAAAATATAAAAAAATACGGGGAAAATAAGGCGACAAAATTTGCCCTTTTTTGTTGATTGCTTAAGACATTTCGACGTACAAACTTTAAAAAAACAACACATTACTACCTCAGCAGAAAAAAAAGGAAACATTACATGAAAAAATAAATTATTTTGAAGAAAAGAAAAAAGAAAGTATTTAAAACGTTTTATCAAACCCAGAATATTTGCTCAGTGTTTTATATACCAACATTATTTGAAAAGGAAAAAATGAAAACAATATAAATCATATTTATATCACCAGTTACCGATATAAATATTATATTCAATTTTAACAATATCTTCAATCTGAAAAGTTGAAAAAGAATTTTAATATCGTGCATTTTTACATTTTCAGATTACGAAAAGTTTTCATTGAAACACGCCTACTTATCCTACAGACAAGATAGAACTAATCTATCTTTAAGAAAGGTAGCCTGTAAATAAACGAAAACATGAACATTTAAAAAGAAACTTGCAAAAAAAGTTTACCAGTGGAAATAAACACAAAAATCGAATAAGGAAACAACAGAACTTGTAAAAGCAACAAAAATATCACAAGAGCATTCTTTTGAGAATCAAGTGGAAAACGTTCTCCGCTGAAAGAGACTCAAAAATTAACACTAAGTATTTTATCTACAATTGAAAAGTTAAATTCCAAAAATAAGGAATGTTGAAAAATACACGTACAGGCTCAATTTTATATAGACATTTACAGTAATGCGATCAGAAAGACACGTGTTTGTTAAGAAAAAGTATAAAAACAAAAAACAAAAAATAGTAAAACACTGACCAAGTTTTATTTTAATTGCACTTATTTAAAACCAAATCTGCTTTTGTCAATTCATCCACTGGAACTATTATTTTAATATAGCTTTTTTTTTTATTACAAAAAAAAAAAATCATCATCCACGCGATATTTTTCAATGAAGTAACAAAAATTACCTGTATCTTGCTGGGGAAAAAAACGCAAAAATCAAAGATTGATAAGAAAATAACAACAAATATTGCAATAAAACAAATTGAAAAAAAAGAGAATCAATTTAAATCTATGGAAGTAAAAAGACATATTAGTACATTCCTTTTTATAACACAAACAAAAAAATGATTCGGCCTGAACCCGTTTATACAAAAATTGATCGTAATTAAAAAGAAATATTAAACATTTAGAAATTTACACAACTTTTAGTTATCGAAACTATTTTAAATAAACACTTGTAATATAGAAAGCGATCAGAATATTTTATTCGCTATATAGTTATATAAAATAAAACAAATATTTAGTCAAGGGTAAAGTTTTATAACATAAACACTAAAACTAAATCAGGAAAATTGTGATAAACAAAAATTATTAATTGTGATAAATTAGCATTTAGTCAAATACCAGCAATTAGTTCTACAAAATCCAGCCTGCAAATTTCAACGAAATACAGGTGAGAGATAATTGAGTTAACTTTGAGACACTGTGATCAGTTGATGCATTTTTAATTTAAACAAATTAAAGCCGAAAGCAGATAACTGGTCCTTAAGAATTTGAAAATTTAAAAGGATTTTTTCTGATAGAAATAAAGAAGGATATATTAAGATCTCAAATATTGTTTTGGAAAATAGAAAAAAAAAAAAATAATAATAATAATAATAATAATAATAAAACAATTGAATTTTCGAGTATTTTACAAGATTAAATTTTACATAATTGAAACAAATTTCAATTAAAAATAGACAAAAAATTAAATATAGAATTTCGCTGCATAAAATAAATAAGTATTTAGGATAAATAAAATATCTCAAAACTAGAAAATTCGTAATTTAGAAAAAATTATTTTGATGCATATTTTTATATATATATATATATATATATATATATATATATATAAATCTATTTAAATTATTTGGAAAGCAATATAAATAATATTTTAACATCATTAATTTTGTATCTAATGATATAAAATTAGTTTTAATGCATTTCAAGGAAATGAAATCGTAATTATAAAAAATAACTATATTTTTAATTTCGAACAAAACATCTTTTTCCATAATGTATCTTTAGAGAATAAGAAATTACTTGTTAATGTAAATATTTATAAAATTCACTAATTTGTATATTATATATACAAAATAATACAGCTGATATATTTATCTCTATGTTTTAAAAATCGTAGAAACCAGTATTATATCCGAGATAAGAACAAAACGAAGAAAAGAAATAAAAAAAAACACACTTACTTTGCAGGGGATAAAAACCTCTAGAGGTCATAAAAATATGTATATATATGTATACACATATATATAACTGTATATATGTGTATATATATATATATATGTGTACTTGTACCTGCATATATGTATTTAGATAAATTCATTCCTGTTTTAAATCTAAACCAGGGAAATTCTTTCATAAAACCGCATTAAAAAATACAATATATTTAAAAAAAAAAAAAAACTGGGATACGGAACATTTTAGTCTATTTACAATTTATTTAATTTCATAAATTTTACATATATATATGTATATATATATATATTTGTATATATATACGTATATAAATTATATAATTTTCTTTTGTATAAATAATTAAAAAAATATATATATAACAATGTTTCATTTACCAATGTTAAACTTTTCGCCACAGCAAGTGGCTCAAGTTTGCGAAACATTAGAAGATAGTGGTGACATCGAACGGCTAGGTCGCTTCTTGTGGTCATTGCCCGTTAACCCGGCAGCCTCGGAAGCCCTCAATAAACATGAATCGATTCTAAGGGCCCGTGCGATTGTCGCCTATCACACGGGCAATTTTCGGGACTTGTACCACATCGTCGAGAACAACCAATTCACGAAGGACTCTCACGCCAAACTGCAGGCCATGTGGCTAGAGGCCCATTACCAAGAGGCGGAGAAGCTGCGAGGCAGACCGCTGGGTCCGGTGGACAAATATCGTGTCCGCAAGAAGTTTCCGCTGCCCAGAACGATATGGG